CTTTCTCTCTCTCTCTCTCCMCCCCCCCCAAAACACACACACACACACACACACACACACACACACACACACACAGTTCCAGTTCAACTACAAAAACCAATGTGTAAGAGGAGGCTAAGTGCTTTGTATTGGACTAATACTGTCTCTTGTATCTCTTTGCCCCAAAAGCATCTGTATAGGCCCCCTCATCATTTCTGTTCAGATCCTGATCATGCATGCTATCTGGAAATAATGATTTAGTGACTCCTCATTAAGAGTTTTATTGTCTTACTCATCCATCTGATCAACTTAGGTGGTATTTTTTATTATATTGCTCATACAAAAAAAATAGCATTTTAAATTGGCATTGAACCTAAATCTAAGTTGATYGGGATGTGGGGGATCAGTCCCTGTTGCTAATGAATATTTAAAATTTCCTTTGGCTTTCTTGGCAGAAAAGCTCGCCAGGAGATTTAGAAGGCCACATTTGAATTATTGGCCCTTTATAGACTGGCCTGAGAAACAGAACTGAACCATTGCAAAGGTTTCATCTCTTGAAGCCAGGATTTCACCTTCAGACTGCCAACTGCTGATCCCCAAGGATGCTTGACAGTCTTCCAGTCTTTGGAAATCATCATCAATCATGAACGATTGCAGCCTGTTTTCCAACTTCAACCCTGAAAGTGGCTTTGCTAGTCTGAGGCCAGCCACTCAGCTTTCTCTAAAGCATAGGAAGAAAGAGAGCAAAGGCAAAGGAGGGGACAAGCCTCATTAGCTTCCCAGATTTGGAAATCAGGGCAAAAGTGACTTYGAGAGCTTGTCTTTTACTCTAAAAACCACTGAGGCCACCATAATTTAAAATTGAGGACACTGGGTCAACTTCCTTTGTTGGGAGATTGAATTTTCACTAATTACAAATAGTAGGAGGTCAGTTTTCATCAATGGCTTAGACTTCATGAACCTAATAAATTGTAGAATTAAGACTTTGCTGCATGGTGATAATAATAGAGAAATATTTCTGGTTAGAATTGTAAAATACTTTGTCAGTTAAGCCTCCTGCCATCCTCCCATTAAGAGCTATGATGTATGCTAGGAACAAAAAAAGACACAGCTGGGAAGGTGACAGTGGCATTAATGGATGCTCACTTTCTCCTCTCTTTGTCTTATGAATTTAACCATCTTTATGCCCCCCCCCCCACAGTTTCATATAGAGAGCAAGGAGCTCTATAGATTGGACATTATCTTGGGTAGCCATTACTGAAAAWTTATGTGGAACAGCATAAGATGTTGCACACATTTTTAAAAAGCCAGCGCCTGCCACCTGCCTGCCTCCAAATTGTGGAGGACAGTTTGAAGCTATACCCAGTGTGGGCCGAAGCCTTCCACAGTCAAACCACACATTTTCAGACCTATTTCAACGTTTAACATTTTCAGGCAGATCAGCTCAAGCTATTTGCCGATGAGGACAAGCTTTTATTGACTGAGAAAATAATCAAATTGAATAAATTGAAAGGATATTCCAGAAGTACTAATGAAATCGCTGCAAATCATGAAGGAGACTGGGACCTTCAGTGATTCAGTGATCAAAGACCATCTCATAGTCTTGAATAATGTTAACATTCTAGTCCTACATGTGCGTATTTTCTATTTGATATATTTTTTTAATTTTTTTTTTTTAGTTTTAGATGGACACAATACCTTTATTTTATTTATTTATTTTTATGTGGTGCTGATGATTGAACCTAGTGCCTCACACATGCTAGACCAGTGCTCTACCACTGAGCCAGCCACCAACCCCAGCCTTCTATTTGAGATTTTTAAACCTTCAAAATATGTGGAGTTATATGTAGGTATAAGTCTCTCTGAGAATTTTATAAACTGTACCATGACAGACTTTGTCTTTCTAAGCTACCTCTCACATGTTGACATCACCAAGGCGGGTATGCWGCTCATAGATATTTAACACTAAGTAACCAGGGCAATGTATTTTCTTTTCCGTACTCCACTGATCTTCCTTCAATTTTTGTGAGATTCCTCCAATTTTCTTTTCCTTTTATGACTCTTAACCTTCTGAGTTTGGCTTATTTCATGTAACATAATGTTCTCAAGTGCTATTCACTTTCCCCTAAATGACATAATTTCATTTTTCTTTATGGCTGAATAAAACTTCATTGTGTATATATACCACATTTTCTTTATCCATTCATCCATTGATGGACACCTACACTGGTCCCATAGTTTGACTATTGTGAATTGTGCTGCTGTAAACCTGAGTATGCATGTATCACTGTAGTAACATGATTTTAATTCTCTAGGATAAATACCGAGGCGTAATATAGCTGGATCACATGGTGGCTCCATGTCATCATGTTTTTGAGGACTCTCCATTCTGACTTCTACAGTGATTGTACTAATTTACAATCCCACTAACACACTAACAGTGTATGAGTGTTCCTTTTTCTTTATATCCTTTCTGGCTTTTTTTTTTTTTTAACCAGGGATTAAACTCAGAGGTGCTTAATCACTAATGTGAGCCACATCCCAGCCTGTTTTATTTTGAGACAGAACCTCCCTAAGTTGCTGAGGCTGGCTTTGAACTTTGGATCTTCCTGGCTCAACC